GTACAAGGATGACGGGTACCGCACAAGGACTTATGCTCTCTCGAACATGGCCCTTCTCCATCAACTCATCTACCTGCCGTTGGAGCTCTTTGGTTTCCTCCGGGTTGGTTCGATACGCTGGTTTGTTTGGAATTGAAGCACCAGGAACGAAATCGATCTGGTGCTCGATCCCTCGGATGGGCGGGAGCCCTTTGGGAGCTTCCTCAGGGAAGACATCCTCGAACTCCTGCAAAACAAGCTGAACACTGCTAGGCAAAGCCTGAAGGTCATTAGAGCTAAAAAGTGTCTCCTTGTAAAGGAGCATGATCATCGACTCCTGGGTGTTCAAAGCTTGCTTAATCTCACTTCCACTCGCAAAGAAATTCTCTCTTCTCACTGGAGCTTCAGTCGTCGTTCTTTTCTTTTCGACGTTGGAATTTCTGTTTTCCTCTCGTGGCTTACTCACTAGGGTAGGGTCACTCGAATTTTCCCTCTTATCTTCTCTCAACTCGTGTTTTTGCTCCCTCTCTTGCTCACGGAGTCGTTGCAGCTGCACTTGGTCTTCATAGACCTCCTTGGGAGTCATTGGCACCAAGGTATGTGCTCGCCCCTTGCAAGACAGAGTGTACTTGTTCGTCTTGCCATCATGTTGGGCAGCTCTGTCAAATTGCCATGGACGTCCCAAGAGTATGTGGGCAGCCTGCATGGGTACCACATCACAGAGTACCTCATCCTTGTATCTCCCAATCTCAAAGCTTAGTAGCACCTGACGTGTCACCTTAATCGCTCCATCCTCGTTCAGCCACTGCAATTTGTAGGGTCGCGGGTGCTTGATGGTCTTCAAGTCTTGCCTTGCCACCATGTCAGAACTAACAACGTTGGTGCAGCTCCCTCCATCTATAACCATCGAACACAGCTTCCCATTAACCAAGCAACGGGTATGGAATAGGTTTTCCCTGCTGCTCAATCTCTTCTCTTTGTTGTACGTTCAGAAGTCGCCGGGCTACACAGGTGTAGTTGCCTTGCATTGGCAATTCCTCAGCTTCTTCTTCCTCCTCCTCAGTCTCGACCTCTCCATCTTCTGGCTCGGACTGGTACTCACCATTCTCCAGTAAAATCATCGTACGCCTTGTTCGGACATTGATTTGCCACATGTCCTCGACCTTGGCATCTGTAACACACAATAGAGCTCGAACGTATGTTAGTAGTTGCCTTCTCTCCAAGTATTGGTGGCCATCAGGCTTGGGCACTGGCTTAGGATCCTCCTTCTTCACAAATGGGGCTCGTGTTGCACTCGAGGAAGGCACTCACGGATGGTGCAACCCTTCTTGCATAGCCTCCCTTTTGCTGCTTCTCAACCTTAGTAGCCATCTGTACCAAATCCTCAATCTCCACATAATGGTGAATCTCCACGACCTGCCTTATCTCCCGATTAAGGCCATTGAGAAATCGATCCATTGTTGCTTCTCTATCTTCATTGACACGAGCTCGAATCATCAATGTCTCCATCTCCTTGAAATAATCCTCTACGCTCTTCGCACCCTGTCTCAACAAGTGAAGAGCTTGATGCAGATCTCGTTGATGATGAACGGGCACAAATCTCCTCCTCATGGCGGCCTTCATTTGATGCCATGTCGTGATGGGCTCTTCTCCGTGCAACCTCCGTTCAGCACCCAACTGGTCCCACCAAATAACGGCATAGTCAGAAAACTCAAGAGCAGCAATGATTACCTTCTTCCGTTCGGAGTAGTCGTGGCACTCGAACAAGTACTCCATCTTTCTCTCCCAGTCGAGGTAAGCTTCAGGGTCACTTCTCCCTTGGAATGATGGCACCTTCACCTTCAGTCCCCTCATATCATCATCCCTATGTTGGGGATACTCTTCCTCCTCGTAGTACTCTTCATAGTGATGTGGTTCGGGAGCTCTACGAGCGTGAACTGGGGGTCTTCCTCCTCGACCTCTAACTCCTCGTCCTCGTAGAGGTATGAGATTGTTGGGACCCAGAGGTCGGCCTCGCCTTCCACCCGGTGGTGGTGGTGGTGGTGGAAAATCATCCTCGTCCTCGGGGTGGAGGTTGATAGCTTGGGCCATTTCATCGAGGCGAGCGTTAATCTGATCCTGCTGGCCTTGCATCATCCGGGTAAGGCGTCCCATAAAAGCATCCATGGTAGCTTGTGGAATGCCTTCCAAGTTCTGGACTTCCTGATTGTTGCGAATTTCTCCTTCTCCTGCCATTTAGTTCAGATACTCGAAACAAGAAGTTATCCGTCAATACTTAAAGTCTCAGATTAATGGTACAAACAAAGGACCTCACAAGTCACTCCCTCATGTGTTTGCACTCGGATGAGATCACTCGTTTTCTTACCACTCGTGTTTCACTCAACAGAATTGGCTTTTACCCGATATTGAACTCACGAAGCCTCTTTCCACTCGCTCTCAGAAACCCTAGATGAGCTTCTTAGTCAACAAGTAGAACAAGCAATAAACAGTAGCTCGAGTCACAAAAAAATCTCAAGAACCCAACTAACACAATCAAGACTCGACCAAGAATGCACAAAACTTGATAAAGACACAAACTTGCGTGATCTGGCCTCTGTTCCTGTCTTTTCTGAGCTGTTCTTTCTGATTTTTAAGCTCGTTTAGTTTTCTTTTTTTTTTTTTTGGTTTTTTTTTTGTATTTTCTAGAACGACTTTTTCCAATAGATGCACGTTACAATCAAGAATGAAATTAACAATCAAGAAACAAAAATAACCTTTCTTGGCGACGTTTAAGAACACAAAACCTGTTTGGTTGATTTTCACATAAGAAAGGAGGGATACGTATGCCACTGTGTTTGAAACGGAGCTCTTATACCACCTGATATAAGCCGAGGCTCTAACTCCTGGACTTAAACAATCAGAATACGCAACAAAGATCGATTAGCAAAACAAAGAGCAAAAGGGGCGGAAAATAACTCAAACCAAAGCCACAATTGGGCAGAGGGCCAAGTATACGAAGTGACTCCACAACTAGGGTGATGAGCTAGTTGATAACGTCGGTTTCTTCTAGACGGCTCGATTCCACGAACGGACTAAGAAGGATAAAAGAGTTTCAAGAATGAAATCTCAAATAAGGGTTTTTTTCATTGATCAAAGGTTCTTTTGCCCGTAGGCATAACATCCTCTATTTATAGAGGTTACAAAATTAAGAAGGAAACTAATAGGAGTTAAAGAAGGAAACAAATATCCAAAAGATTCTAACATATTATTTTTAATGCTAATGGAAGATTCTTAGCCACTAATTATTCCCTTTCCATGTTTGGCCAACTTGGGCAGAAAGAATGTCCTTCTTTCTCCCCATTCCTTTGCCTTTCCATGTTTGGCCAACTTGGGCATCAAGAATGTCCTTCTTTCTCCCCTTTCCTTTGCCTTTCCATGTGTGGCCAACTTGGGCATCAAAAATGTCCTTCTTTCTCATCTTGGACGTGGATGACATTGACCTCCTGGCCCATGAACGAATTCGACTCCAAAGATGGAAAATGCTCTGCCAAATAAGCTTGAAGTCGACCTTTGAATGCCTTGGCTTGACTTCTAGTGATTGGACCACGTTCCTCTTGTACCAAAGTTGGACTTGTGATCGCCTTGGTGTTGATGTCCTCATCAGTACCTGTATAATTTTTTTTACAACTCAAAACATGTATGCTTATATATAGCGAATTGAAGAAACATTACAATCTGTCACTAATTGGGCCAAAAGAAAAACCGGTGGCCGGCCAAACCAAACATCTGTTTCCTCACACCTACACTAAGTATGACACATAATGTCTGTCACTTGGTTTCCTCCTCTCTCCCAAAACCTTCACTACACTTCGCCTTCCTCTCTCATTACTTCTACGATCTCCTCTATCACACCCACAATCTGCAAAATAAAGCCTTCTTTTTCATTCAGCTTCTCTCTCAAAGACAAACTTCCAGATAAGCCCATGCTCTCCCTATCACTTCCCATTCCTAAAGTTTGTTTTTATTGAATAGGTGATTACTTTTTCTTTCCATAAGAACCATATCGTAATTAAGAAAGGGACTATGGTTTCATCGATAACCTTCTCCATGATCTGACAGATCCACTCTTCGCGTCCCTTCTCCTCCCGTCCCTGAAAAGACTCTCTAGGTAGCTCGGTCTCCGGGATTCTTCTTGCCCAGTCGCAGCCTTGCGTTATATTTTTTATTGCATGAAAGTACTCAAACGCCACCATAATATCACCATACATTTATGAATCTTCCTGATAAAAACACACTCTGGAAAACAGTTGTGACTTTGTTGAGTACCTTTTTCCAGTTTATTTGAAAGTGAATAGTATCTTATATAATACTTTGCAAAGATTTATTGATATGAAATCGTGGGATTTTTTAGTTTTTCTTCTTTTCCGGGATCAAATCAATGAGCATGTAGTTTAGGTTTGGTGATATTGTTCTCTCTATCAACATTTTTTTTTTGCAGCTCAACGGTCAATAAATCTCACTGTTCCCAGTTCTTTTGGGAGAACAGTTTTAGGAAGGTATCGCCGACCTATTTATTTTGGAATTATTAGTGCCAACGGATTCTATGCGGTGGTGTTTGACACATGGTTTTACTATTTTGAATTACTGAGGAGATTGTCAATTGGTTATTGAGCGAGTAACGATTGGGACATACATCATGATGTGGGAGGAGTACTGCTGGAAGTTATCAGGAGATTTCCCTTTTCTTTTTCCTTTTTCTATTATACATACTTCTCGTGGTGTTAATAGGGTTGTCCATATCTAGTGACAAAAAACACCCTTTCATCAACAGTTCAACTATTGGTCAACTGCTAAACTTGATTAATTATTTTTCATATATACGACGCGGTATGACTATTCTCGTTAATTCTTCGATGATTTTGGTAAAAAAAAGACCCTAACATACGCTACAACTTATGCATTTAACATAAAAAAGAAGCCCAAAACTTGGGCGTTCCTCGATCATCCGGATCCGGTACAATTATGCGTCATTTGTTGTTTCATTAATCAGACTTTCGATTTGTTCCATTCATAGCAGACGTCATAAGCTTTGGTTTCGTCATTAAACCTACACGGACTAAGCGATTTGACAATCCACTCACAGTTCTTACATATTGAATAATCCCTATTTTGCTTGTAGATATCGAACCAGTGGATCCCGCCGCCGCCCGGCCACTCGAACGAGCAGAAGAACCGAGTCGTGAAAAATATGTTCGCCCTGAACTAAAACCCGAACCCCTGGTTGTAACCCAGCACCTTGACCCCGATGTCGTCGTCCTTTGACTTGCAATGCACCGTCAGCTCCGCCTGGTTTTCCAGCCTGTTGGTGATTGTCACCGTCGTCTTCTTCGGCAGGAACCCCGTTGGTTCTACGTCGCCCTCCTCTGCTTTTGCCACGTGGTTTGCGGTAGCCGCCGTGGCGAAGGCTGCCAGGGAGATGGCGATTGCCGCCGCTGCCCTCGTTAGCATTGTTATGTTGCTCGACTTCATAGCAACTTAGTTTCTGGTGTGGGACTTTATGTTATGGGTGTGATATGCAAATATTATTAGATGTGTTTCCATGTATAGTTTTGGGACTTGAATGCTGGTGGACTGTATTTAATTTATTTCCATTCGGCATGTGGGTGAAAATAAACCTTTATAGTTTTTTTGGGTGGAGAAATGCATGGTTAGGGATGGCAATGGGGCGGGTTTGCTTAAACCATCCCCATACCCATCTTCAAATACCCAAACCCATACCCGCCTCATACCCATGCGGGGAATGTTTTGCAAACCCATCCCCATACCCGTGGGTTTTGGGTACCCATGGGTAATACCCATACCCGTACATCCAACATTATTATACCTAAAACTTACAAGAAAAGTTCTAATTATAACTCTAAACGAACATATTATATCATGAAGTCAATAAAACACGGTCTTTTTTTAATATGGTTCAAAGATTATGATCCTAAATATCCATTAATACATAATATAGAGTATAATATTTTTCAAATTATTTTGTTCTAACTCTAATACATCTACTAAATAATAATTAACTAACATAATCTTGTTGACAAGGGGGAAAGTGAAAGAGTGAAATGAGAATTGAGAGAAATGAATTAGATTTTGATTAAGGTGGTCACTCAATTGCATTTCTTCTATTTATTTTCTCAAGTTATCCTCATCATCATTGATATATTTATAATTTGATGCATATATTTTTTTTATATATTAAGAAATTATCTTGGTGGGGCGGGTATTGGGATGGGTATGGGGCGGGGGAGGCTAAAACCATACCCGCCCCATACCCATCAAACTTTTTGCGGGTTTTACCCATACCCGCCCCATACCCGGTCAAAGCGGGGATTCCCCGCGTTGACTGGGTCGGGGGCGGTCGGATACCCGCGGCCATGGGTTTGATTGCCATCCCTATGCATGGTTGAACCGTGGTTTGATATTGATAAGTTGCAAATCATTCTTAATGATATAGGTAACTGATGAATGTGAGTTGATTGGTAAATCTCCCACTCAGGCTTATTTGAGTGGGTGGCTTCCGGGTAGCCGAATGACCATTCCCTATTTTCACATAGCAATGAGTTGTTGATTTTTTTTTTTTTTTTTTTTAATTATGATTGAAGAGTCATCATATATATTTTCTAACCACATCGCACATTGCCCATGAACTTTTAAATGCGGAAAACAAAGACTAGCTTTGGATTACTGTTATTGGTAATTATGATAGTAATGTTGCGAAGTGCGAACAACGGGTTGGTTCAGTAGCAATACCAATTGTTTTTTACCCTGGGAGGTCTTAGATACAAATCTTAAAAGTAGCACCTAATTTAAAAAGAAAAAACAAATTTGTACCGCGCTCATAAAAATATTATGATTGTAATGTCCGTTAGATATTGGGATGTGAAGCACAAATAAGTAATGTATCAAGTTGTAAAAAATGTCTTCTCTACAATCGGTTGATGGAGTGATGAAAGATTTGACACCTCTGTCAAAGAAGTGAAATCCAAATGCGTAAAAGCCTTGATTAATTTCTGAGGATATGTGGTTATCAAACTAATACTAATCACAAAATAAAAATATTTCATAATATTAGACGCTTGAAATTTAATCAATTGAACGTGATTAAATTAATACTAATCGTAAAAAACCAATATCTATTGAATTAAATAGTGTCTCGAATTAATTAAAAATTAATATAAAAGAATAATATTTTTAGCGGCAAAAAATAATTTTTATAGAGGCACATAATATATTGGTCTTGTATAAGACATTAGGAAAATATTTTCTGTCGCTAGTTTTAGTCTCTAAACCAATTTTCTTGTAATGCATTCAGTATTCAAAGTTCCAATTGGGCATTCGGTTGTGGTTATGGCCATTTATCTTCCAGACATAGTAACAGCTGGAAACAACGTGGAGTTGGACTTTAATATGAAGAAGCATAGGGAGTTTTTTTAATGAAACAAGCATAGGGAGTTGGGAGAACTCATCGTTTGCTTCGTGTATTTGAAAAATGAAGATTTTGATATATTTTGGGTTGAAAAATTATGGACATGTGAGGATTTTGGGTTTATTATTGATTTGAAAAACACCATTGTTTGTTTCATGGATTTCATTATGGATTTTGTTAATTAAATTTTTATGTATGAAGTGAAATTTACCTTTATTGCCCTCAATGATATAAGAAGACAAAGAAAATATGAGGGGTAGGTTGGTAAAAAATATAAACTTCAAAGTTCATGATCAATTCCCACCTAAAAAAAGGTGGAATTTTCAAGTCCGTGGACCCCATAGATTTGGACCCTCATAGTCCATGGGTCTCATAAATTTGTTATTTTTACAAACTTGAAGTAAACAATGGATTTTGTACAAAGTTCATCATGGACCCAAATTCATCATCAAATCCTTTACCAAATATATCAAGCAAACAAGACCCGTATCTTTTCTCTAGACTAAGAATGGTTCACTCTAGTTTAGGAATGATGGTTTCACATAGAAAATATTGTATTGTGTTTTTGGTGAATTCTCATTTTAGGATTCTAAATCATCCAAAACTCTCACGAGTCCAAATGTTGTATATTTTGAAACGACCCGATACATTTACACAAACAGAAATACTCATAGTTCCAGAGCCGACCGAAATAGTGTCCAAAAATCTCGATAAAATTAATAAATTCAAGTATTTTTCACAAGAAATTCAAATGAAATGCCCTAAATAGTTGGGCGACCCAAATCCATGGTAAAAAAACCACTCAAACTCCAAATCTCGAATCTCTAGTTTATATACTCATAATCATGAACAAAAATAATGAAAATAACAATAGTTCTATCTTCTCGCTGAGCTCCCCTCAATCTCGTCCGCTTAGGAGCGGCTTCCTGCTTCGCCTCGCCTCTTCTCGGAATCCACCTCGTTACCCTTCCTCGACCTGGTGAGTGAGAAGGGTTTAGTATCGTCATTACTTCCTGGGTCTTTGCCCTAGGTACATCCTTACAAACACATAATTAGTGTTTCTTTTCCTTAAATGAAAGTCTTTCTCGCTTTCATCCTTAATACCTAGTCCAACGATTTATTATAGAAGTTCTCGACTTTTATCCCTAACTCATAGAATTTCTCTACTTCTATCCTTAGCTAATACCTATAGGGGTAAACAAACACACCCGCAAACCAACCCACCTGTCCAACCCAACCCACCCGTATTTATCACTAAAACTAAGGTTTTGGGTTGGGTGGGGATTTTCTTTTGTACAACCCGTCTTTTGAGTTGGGTTTGGATTTTGGATTACACAATCCGTAGAACCCGACCCAACCCGTGTTCCAACTATTGGTATGAGTTTGTATTCAAAAGATATTTATGTCGTATATACCCATACTTATGAGAAAATTAAGATATTTTGTCATATTTTTCTCTAATGGTCTCCCTAATCTAATGCATTCTTCGGCTTAAAGTTTAGATATAGATTTAATATAGCTATGATTCACGTAATCCTTTTTGTTGTGTACAATTTTAATAGAATAACATATTATGGATGCGTTCGTTTATAAAAATTTTAAACTATTTTAACAAATTTCGTGAAAAAACTAGACATGTGTTGAAGTAAATCACATTTTATTAAAATTTAAACATGTATGAATTTTGATACCTTTCACCTCAGTTTATTCGTTTGAAATTTAATTAGTCATAAAATATTTTTATGGTGTAGACTAATTACATATTTTGTGTTGGATTGAGTTTTTATTTAAAAATATCGCCAAGCCGACCCTACCCAATTAGAAACAAACCGTAGGGTTTTCAATTTAAACAAACCGTAATACATGGGCCGGGTGATTAAAATGGCTAAACCCGGACCACCCGACCCATGTACACCCCTACATACCTATATCACTAGGGACCACCGCGTTACGTCTCGTTGTCTGGTGTCCCTACTCTAGTATGCCAACCGCGTTACGTCTCTTTGTCCGGTTGCATACCCAACTCGGCAATCTCACTGTGTTACGTCTCGTCGTCCAGTCCATGCCCGGTCAACTACTGCGTTACGTCTCGCCGTCCACTAGTGACCCCAACATACTTGATCAACTGTTGCGTTACGTCTCGCCGTCCAGAAGTGATCCGACCATCTATCACGTCCAGTAGTGGCCAAACCGCCCGAAGGTTCATCGTACCACTAACCATACATTACAAACATACATTCTCATAGATAGCACAACGCGTGCCTCCACCTTAAGTAGGCGATGGGATGCCTCAAACACATAACCACAATTTTATTAAAACCGGACCAGACAGGCAGGTCAGACCGATAAAAAACCCGGCTAGGGCAACAATCCGGACCCGGAAGGCTTGAAACGGTAAGAAAGCTGCTCGACCGGGTTGCGTCTAGTTCACCCGGTTAACCGGCAAAACCGTTGCACCCGAACAGGCAGTTTGGAACTAATTCATTCGTTTTAAACTTTTGACTTTTTAAATTTAAATTATAAAATAATAAAAACCTGTCGAATCAATGTGGAGTCTGCTTTAATGGGAGCTTGGAATTTCCGTAAGAGGCTCCATTTTCATTATTTCTAAATAATAAAATCTTAACAACCACCTACCCACCCCTTTTAACGTTTTAACTTTCAATTAATATTCCTCAAAAATGAAACTTTCAATTAATGTATTTGGGGTATTTGGGGAATCTGTCTCTGCTTTTCTTTCTTGGAAAGTGAAGATAAGCACTCCACACCTTTTGAGCACCGCTGGTTAGGTTGCAAGATATCAGTAGGCATGTCACCAGTTTTATGACCGGTTAGTTATGGTTACCGATA